ATTGTGCAACAAATAATTGTATAAAAGAGAAACAAGAACAACAAGATGGCATACAATTGACCAATTGCCATGGTGTAAAGAACCTATGTTATACTTGGTCATTTCAAATAGACCAGGAGACCATAACAGCTTCCCCTAATTATTATTATTATTATATAAAATATACTCTTCTAATAATGTATGAACGGAGAGGTCAGACTTTTCTGCAAAAGATAATCAATGGTATAATGTCACTACATATAAGGCAGAGAAATTACATTTCCCATATAATGTGAACCCTTTTCAATTTGCTCCTAATCAGATCTGACCAGTAGCCCAGTTCACATATCAAGAATTAAGTTTTGCTCACTATTAACTTTCCCTTCGGTTTCTCCATTTTATGCTGCTGCTACATAATCAAGTCTGTAATTTAGTATTACCACAAGATGGCATTTTTGAGCACATTTGAAATGTTTTTTTCTAACTCACTATATCATTGAAGACCTTTGGGAGGGTGGATTTTGTTTGTTTGATTTATTGATTAAATGGTTCCTTCAACTCTTAAATAATAGAAATTTAATTATTTTAGGAACACTATTTGTCTGAAAAATTGCTCATTCAGATTCATAAGTTTTTTACTTTTTAATTAGAATTCCTTAGAGCATTATTAAATATTCTTCTTGGTCACAGATCCCCTTTAAACCTTGTAATTGGCCTATGGATGTAAATATATGTAATTTAATGGGACTAGATTTTTAAATAATTAATATGTTAAATCTTATATTTTAAAATTCCCAAAATACTAAAATTTATAGCTACATAGCTATGGATTCATTTTTACTAGTTTTTGCTATAGACATGGACATAGCCATAGACTATCTTGAACCTAAGATGTGGATGAAGGTGCAAGAGTGATAAATCCTGGGATTGCAGATTTGTAGTTTCAAATTTCTTTATTTTTCGAGCTTCTACCACTTCTATTCAGAGCCTCAGCAGCAGCATATTCTAGCTAAAACAATACCCCCATTTATTAAAAATGTGGACGCTTGACATTGCTGATAAACATGATGGAGTAGCTGGGCGTCCAAGATATTTCATCAGAATCTAAGGACAAAAACAAATTTCCAGGCCCTGATTTTTGGGCTCTGGCCAAGCTTGTTATGGAAGCCAGGCATAGGCTGCCATGGTTCCCACTGCTTTACCTGTGGCAGGGTAGTGTTAAGAAGATAACTTCATAACTTGAAGTAACTTTCGCTTCATGTCCACAAGGGCCATGAAGGGATCTGAAGACTGCTGGACAGACCACTGGCTTGTACGCTCAGTGATGAACATCTGCCTGGCACCAAGACACCGGAAGACCCAAAGGCCACCTGGAGACAGCTGAACGTCACAGCTTTGAAGGACCTTGGACAGTAGGAGGAGTTCCAGGCTCAGTTGTATAGTGCACTGGAGTAAGTCCCTACTACTCCAGTGCACTATAGATGCTAATGACATCTCCATCCAGGCACACTGGGAGCAACTCAAGTCTGCTGTCCAGGACACCTGCACCCAGACTATTGGGTTCGCATTACATACAACTCCTGAGCTGGATCTAGCCTGTGAAGAGGTTTGATCTGGCCTGGAAAGAGGTTAGATCTTGGCCTAGGATGGTTCAGAGGATCAGGCAGCATGCAACTGTGCCTAGCCATTGGCCTCTCTGTAGCACGCTCTTCAGACTCATTAGCAGACTTCCCTGCTGCTCTTTGTGGGAGTGCTTACTGTTGCTGCAGAGAAACTGGTGTCTACAGTGAGGGAAGCATAAGCAATTTGAGCTCTGTAGGAGCCAGAGAGCCAGGTTGCAAACTCCTCCAGCTGGGGCAGCAAAATGTTGCCAATTCTTGCTAGAGTACAAGGTATTTCCATGCAAGGGGCTCTGTCTCTGCCAGGAAGCTCTGAGACGGGATTACAGATTTTCTTAAGAATCTCTCCTCAATAAATAACAAGACTGCTGAACCTAAACGCTGTTGTTTGTCTCTTCCCATGGCATGTGCTGCACAACCTTGCTCTTTTTTGCTAGTATTCATATTTCTGAAATCCTTTCACTTCCTGTAGAACAGCTAACCATGCAAGGCATATGCCAAGTGTCTATTGGTGGTAATGAAAGAACAGAGTGTATGAGCCATGACAGGACTGCAGCTCCACTATGTCTGATCCACAGTGAATGGCTTACTCATCTTCAGTAGGACCCTGACATCCACTTGAAGGAAAATTGTGGAGTTTTTAAAGAACAAAGTACAAGGGGAGCCCCAGGAAAAATTAACATGAACAGAAACATTTTCATTTCTCTTTCATGCAATCTTCCTTTCTAAATGTCAGTGAAAAGTTCCTTTGTGGTTTCAAATACACTTTTTTGCCTGCACAGAAATTCCAGCACACAAGTTTGTGGTAGTGCATAACAACCCAAAAGTGGATAGTGGCTACAGGAGCCAAAGGAAAGGGAAAAATAGAAGAACAGGGAAACTGCAGACATAGTGAAAACTGAACTCAAGAAGCAATTTTAATTTTTACATCTATGTTCTTTATTACAACCCCAAAAAATATTCAAAAGTACCTTTCAGACATTTAACATACAGTCAAATGGTAGAGAAGGATGGCACCTTAAAGACTAAGGGTGCATCTATATATCTAGTTAGCATGGCGAAATAAATTCCTATACAGCTTGCACCAGTTTTTTGCTTCCAGGCCCAGCATCTTCACATGTGCCGGGGACTGCAGCACACTGAGCTGGGGCAGAGCAGCCCTGGCTGGCAGGGAGCTTAGGGGATCAGCCTTCCAGTCTGGGGCTTATCTGCCCTAGCTCAGTGTGATGTGGAGGGGGTGGCTGGAGCATAGTTTCGTAGTTTCTAGGGTCAGAAGGGACCTGAGTAGATCATCTAGTCCGACCCCCTGCCATGGCAGGAAAGAGTACTGGGGTCAAACGACCCCAGCAAGGTGTACATCTAGCCTCCTCTTAAAGACCCCCAGGGTAGGAGCCAGCACCACTTCTCATGGAAGTTGGTTCCAGATCCTAGCCGCCCTGACTGTGAAATAGCGCCTCCTAATATCTAGCCTAAACCTACCCTCTGCCAGCTTGTGACCGTCAGTCCTGGTCACTCCTGGCGGTGCTCGGGGGAACAGGGACTCCCCCAATGCCTGCTGATCCCCCCTGACTAGTTTGTAACAGGCCACTAGATCCCCCCTCAGCCTTCTCTTGTGGAGGCTGAACAGGTTCAGGTCCCGTCGCCTCTCCTTATAGGGCCTGCCCTACTGTCCCTTGATCATGTGAGTGGCCCTCCTCTGGACCCTCTCCATGTTGTCCACATCCCTCTTGAAGTGCGGCGCCCAGAACTGGACACAGTACTCCAGCTGCGGCCTGACCAGTGCCGCATAGAGGGGGAGTATCACCTCCTTGGACCTGCTCGAGATGCATCTGTGGATGCATGACAAGGTACAGTTGGCCTTTCTGACATAAGTGTGCTCGAGTGCTAGGGCTAGCCAGCAGGCAGCCACCACTCTGTAGCACCCTTGTGCCTCAGCCACCCCAGTCACCATCTACATATGTGTTACAACAGCATAAATTACTCTGCCATAGGATAGGATAGTACTGCCAGACACAAGTACTAAGGCAGAGTTAATTAGTTTACAGCATCCTAATAGTGTTGCATGTGTAGACAGTGATGTTTTATGCTGGAGCTAATTAGGTAACTGCAGTAAAGCGCATGTGTAGACCTGGATTTGTTTTCTCAGAGACCTTTCTCAAATGCCTATGGTTTCCTAGAAGGGGGTCCTAGCATTGTTTGGCTTCAAGGTTTAAAAGTGCTCTCCAAACTTCAAGAATTTTTTAATTTTGATGCACACTAATAGTCTTATCATAAAAATTATTTTAAGCCCATGTTCAAATCCTCACCACCTAGAAAGCTCTTAAGAAACCTAAAATAGTTTTCTGTCCATCCAGTGAAGGAAGGTAGGAATGGGAAGTCCAAAGAACAGGTGACTTTTATGATTTTCAGGGCCATGGAAGAAAAGGGGAAAAACAGCTAAAAAAGACTTTTGGGTAAAAAGACGCCTAACTAATCGATTCATTGTGGCACCTTGTTGGCTGTCTCAGGATGTTGAAAAAGCCCCTTAGGGATGATTTGATGGTCAGACCCACGCTAGGAACGTAACAAGAATGTATAAATATAAGAGATGTCAAAATTGTTTTCCTGAATTAAGGTGTAGCTTCCTAAGCAGCTTGGAAGTTGACAGTCAAAGAATGTGGAAAGTGAACTGAAATGGTAATGCACTGATAATGCAAGAGAAAGAAATAATATCTAGTTGACTGCATTCATGTCTGAGCCTGTGACTGGATGGTTCAAAGAATAACATATGTTTAAAGATGTATGTTTTCAAGATACGTATAGGTTTGTGTGTCCTGGCACTTATCCCTGCTATCAGTCGAGTTGACATAATTACACGATAGATAGACCACCTAACTGACAGTGAATAAAGGCTATTTGGTTTGTATTTGTTTTTTTACTCGCTGGCAAACCTGCAGCAAGTGGAACTGGAAGAAGGGTCCCTGGAAGTTGCAACATACCTGAGAGACAAGCTAGTTTCTCTGGCATCTAGAATATCACTGATTGTGTGACCATGTGCTATTCAAAATATATAGGAGTAACATATAGTGGGGAAATGTGGAAGTTGGGGAAGACTAAAACTGTAATGGGAATGCAGCCCTCAGTGATATCCTCCTAAGCTGTGATGAGGAAGAGTGGATACACAGGTGTCATTTTTACATAAGCAGCACATTTTGACATGGCTGCCTTGTCATCTGCTCAAAGATATCATGCAACTGACATGATACAGTAAAGAGATGGTATCTAGAAAAGGTGTTTTCTTCTAATACTTTATTCATTTTCACTAAATCACCAAAAAACAGGAAATGTGCTACTAGAACCAAAAAGCAGTAAACAGAAAATGAAAGAGGGAAAATCTTGTGAACATGAAAATGATGAAAGAAATGCTTAAATACTTAAATTCAGAGACATGGATGGAAGACACAGCTCTCCACTAAAGACCTGGAACAAATTTCAGCCTCACAAGTTCTGTGTCCAAAGACAAGGGAGCAGACAAGATCATCCTCATCACCATGTCTACTATGCGTTTGCTGCACATTTGCCTTATACTGCTCTTCTCCACTGAAATCTCATCGCAGCACTGTGATTTGCTTAGCTTCCAGCAGAAGAAACTAAACAAAGATAGCTTAGAGCTCCTGGAGAAAATGGGGGGAAATTTTCCCTTTCAATGCTTCAATGAAGGGATTGATTTCAAGTCCATGCAAGATGTTCTCAAGCTCCAATCATCCCAGAAAGAGAATGCAAAGTTGGCAATTCAGAACATCCTCCAAGAGATCTTCACAGTCTTTAGCAAAAACCTCACACAAACTGCCTGGGATACGATTTCCATCATTACCTTCCAAAACAAACTTCACCAGCAAATTGAGAGACTGGAAGCCTGTTTGGGTTCCCTGAAGGAGAAGGATGGAACCAAGATGGGAAGTGATGGTTTAGTGCTCACCAAGCTGAAAGTCAAAAGATTTTTCCAGGGAATATACAATTTCTTGGAAGAGAAGCAGTATAGCCAGTGTGCCTGGGAGATCATCCACATGGAAATAACCAGATGTTTTCTGTTTGTTGACCAACTCACAAAGAGTCTTTAAAACTAAGGTATAGTACCAACATTTTTTGTACAGACTGCCTGAATTAGCATTATACAGGTGAGAAGAGAAAATCAATCATGTTGTGACTTCTTGTTTCTAAGGCCTAATACCTCTTCATGTAGTTTCTGGCTGAACCGATTGAGTTGTAACTTAATTTAGATGCAGGGACATCAACCCTTTCCTTTCCTCTGCTGGAACTGATCGATAATTAAATGAATTAAGTACTGTTATCATGATTTTTAATAACTGTCACAAGAAGTTCTTCTCACAATTTAAGCCTTAGATGCTTCATTCAGACACTTAAAATATGAGCAACCTTTCAGAAAACCAATAAAATTGTTATGCCTAGGAAAAGATATTTTCATACAATTTTGAAACACAAGTCATTGTATTCCTTTGTGCTTGAACCGTTTCTCTTTTTTCATTCCAGCTCAAGGCTATTGCACCTACCAGTGCTAAGAAAACAGCCGAATGAAACTATCTTGCACTTGAATCCATTCTGACTGCCAACTCATCCATGGTGACTAAATTTTTAGAGTCCTTCACAACACTTTTGGTTATACAACTATGAAGTGGAACCTGCACATCATCCATTGTATATCAAATACTGTATTGTAGTTTTTAAAATAGAAGAAAGAACTCATAGCTGAAGAGCCAGAAAACCCTGACACATTTTGGAAGGATGAAACGCACCTTAATGGCTTTCAGCATTTTATGTATACTGTATATAGGGGCTCTTTTGTACTTTTCTGATAAAATAATCGCTTAACTGTAACATGCATTGTCATTTTCCTACAATATCAGATGAGAGAGAGACTTCTAGCAGTCCCAAGAGATTCTCATCCCTACAGAATACCAATAAGTGAATGCTAATATTGCAATGAAGAGGACTTTTCAACATTTTCTACACCCTGTAAACCCTCTTTGAAATAGTAACTAAACTGAGTGAATCTTTACATGTGAAGTCAAGTATGGTGAAATTTTATACATCTATCAATCAATCTATCGTTACTACTTATCATCTTCCTGTATTGAGGATATATACTTTCAACTAATTTTGCTGGAGTTTATGCCTATATGTATATTACATAACAACTGCTTAGTATTTATTTATTTATTCATTTATTTATTGTTGATTATTATTTATAATAGCTATTTAACTTTATTAATAAAGATATTATCTTTACATAATGGGAGCCTAGAGCAGCAATGATTTCCATTAAATACACATTTAGAAACAACCACCAATCTATTAGTAGATAAACCTGTTTTGTGCTCTATCTTAACACCACGACTCAAAAACCTGTGACTGAGGTCTGACTGGCCCTCCAGGCATCCCACAGTGCATCACTCATCAGCCCTCCCCCCTCCTCTGACTCCAGCTTCTGAGTTCTCAGGTCTGGCTGAGCTTCAGCTTGAGTACTTTTCACTTTTCTGCTGGAGCTGTGGCTGTTTTCATTTTCCCTTCTTTTCTAGATGGGAGTTCAATATGCTTCAGTTGCCTGCAACTAACTGAACTCAGAGTGGTGCTTGCCTCAGTTCAATTAACTTCCACTGTCTGCACTTGAGCACAGTCCACAGCATGCCGGACTGATTTGGGGTGTGGGGGGCAGGCTGGGGGAGGATATGGACACTGGCTTCTGGATTCACAAGCTAAGGAAGTACAGGTTGGATTAATGAACTGTAAGGTGGATAGAAAACTGGCTGGATCATTGAGCTAAGAGGGTAGTAATCAATGGCAGAATGTCTAGTTGGCAGCTGCTGTCAAGTGGAGTGCCCCAGAGTGTTGGTCCTAGGGCTGGCTTTGTTCAATATTTTTATCAATGGCTTAGAAGTGGGATGGATCAGCAAGTCTGCAGATAACACCAAGCTGTGGGGGGAGTAGTAGATAGGCTGGAGGGTAGGGTTAGGATTCAGAGAGCCCTTGATAAATTGGAGGATTGGACCAAAAGAAATCTCATGAGGTTTAATAAGGACAAGTGCAAAGTCCTTGCACAATCCCATGCACCAGTACAGGCTGGGGGCTGACTGGCTAAGCAGCCGCTCTGTAGAAAAGGACGTGGGGGTTACAGTGGATAGTAAGCTCAATAGGAGCCAACAGTGCGCCCTTGCGAAGAAGGCTAAAGGCATACCAGCTGCATTAGTAGGAGCATTGCCAGCAGGTCAAGGGAGGTGATTATTCCCCTCTATTTGGCACTGGTGAGGCCACATCTGGAGAACTGTGTCCAGTTTTGGGTACCCCGCTACAGAAAGGAGGTGAACAAATTGGAAAGATTCCAGCAGAAGGCAACAAAAGTAGCTAGAGCAGTGGTCTGCAACCAGTCGATTCTGATTGACTGGTTGATCTCGAAGTCTTTTTTAGTTGATTCTGGGCTGCACTTGGGGCAGGCAGTGGCAGTGCTGAGAGAGATTCAGGGGGGCTACAGCAAATATTTGGGTGGCTCCAGCCCCCCATAGTCCCACTCCCAGCACCACCACTGCCTGGCCCAAGTGCAGCGTGACCCAGCCTCCACCAGGAACAGCCCAGCCCACAACTGCAGCCTGCACCACTCCATATGCAGATCCAGGGGTATGCACCGCCCCCACCCCTCCGGTCTTCCCAAGGTGCATGCCCCCTCCTCCCCACTAGGGCTGAGGCCTCAATCTGCATCCCCTATGGCCCTTTTTCCTCCCCCCATCCCTTCCCCCACAGACTTACATGCTGGGGAGGGGGTGTGCCCCAAAATATTTTTTTCTCCCTCTGCCTTGATCTTCCCCCTCCTTCTCTCCCCACAGACTTACCTGCTGGGCAGGGGAGTGGGAGTGGCCATGCAAGGTAGATCTTGAGTTGCTTTTAAATTCCAAAAGAGATCTGCTACTTAAAAAGGTTGGAGACCACTGGGCTAGAGGGCCGGTAGGCCCTTATGAGGAGAGGCTGAGAGAACTGGGCTTATTTAGTTTGGAAAAGAGAAGGATAAGGGGAGATTTGATAGCAGCCTTCAACTCCCTGAAGGGTGGTTCTGAAGAGGATGGAGCTAGACTGTTCTCAGTGGTGGCAGGTGACAGAACAAGGAGCAGTGGTCTCAAGTTGCAGCAAGGAAAGTTTAGGTTAGATATTAGGAAAAACTCTCTCACTAGGAGGGTAGTAAAACACTGGAACAGGTTACCCAGAGAGGTTGTGGAATCTCCATCCTTGGAGGTTTTGAAGCCCCAGGGAGACTAAGCCTTGACTGGGATGAAATAGCTGGGGTTGGTCCTGCTTTGAGCAAGGGGTAGGACTCATTAGTTGACCTCCTGAGGTCCTTTCCAACCCTAATTTTCCAATTCTATGATTCCCAGGGACTGGGTAACATGCAGCTACCAATGCTTTTTGTAACTCACTTTGCAGCCTCTAAAAATTATCCTAGAAAGCTGCTTAATTAACTTATATTTGGTAAACAAGATTCCCTGCATGGTATGGGGTGGGGCATACAAAGGGGAGATGGGGGTAAGACGTGTAAGCACATGTATCCTGCTCCCCCCTCCAAATTCCTACATAACCCACATTGTATGCCTGGTTTCCTGTTTCAGTTTTCCTTTAGACTACAGGGCATCCAGGAGGAGCAGAACATGTGGAGCAGGGCAGACAGCAGCAGTACAACCTGGAAGTCAAGGAATAATTAACAGGCCAATTAATTGCCTGCTGGAGCACAGATCTGACGGTCATTCTATGACATTAAGTACTCATTGGGCAGTAGCTTGGGTTTCCCATGTGTGGCTAGATTTAGTCAAGCTCACTACAGGTGATCACAAGGTCAGCCATCTCGTGCCACGATACCTGTACACAAAGTTTAGAAATATTATACCCAACTCTCCACTATGCACAAAAAAAGCAAAGTCCTTGAAGTGCTATCTGGTGGTCCATGATACTAGGTGGCCAGCAGCACTGACTAGAAGTACTCAAGGGACATCCTTTGATATAGCTGACAAGAGCAAACGATGCCCCCATAGCATCCTCCTCCTACTCTGCTGGGTGTGTCAACAGCTGGTGCCTGCAAGCAGTGCTAGACCTGCTCTCCGCTGTGGGGGGGAATGGGGGGAGGAGATCCAGCAGGCACACCATTCAAGGCACTGCATCAGGCTATGTTTGAGCAGAATGCCACAGAGACTCCAGCTGGTGAACGTTGCCATTTCAATGGGATTGCCATTTCCTAGAATAACTCCTTCTAGAAAACGATTCCTAGAGAACCACTCAATAAATTACAAAGTCCTACAGTTGACCGAGTTCAGAAGGGTGTCAGGCAGCCTGGGGGTGTCAGGTATGGGGCGTTGGATGCCCAACTCTAGAATTCAAGGGTCTGCGTGACCTGTGCCTCTGGATTTTTTCACTTTCTGTTTAGGGCTGGAGACACTTTTGCTTTCTACTTCCCCTAGAAAGATGCTTGCCTGGTGCACATTGCCTGTGACTGACTGCACGATATGGTGTGTGGGGCTGCCTGAGGACTGTTAGAGGGATTGTGGGGGTGGGACACAATAGGGAGTGCTTGGACTCCGTCTCATGGATTCCTAGAGCCTGAGGGAGCTGGGGCTACCCAAGCTCTCAGCTTTCCAATTCACAATGTTTGTGTACGTTCCCTAGAAAGCTGTCAGTACACTTCAGTTTCCTGCAGCCAAATATAGATCTCTGTGATCATGGTTCCCAGAATACTGTGAAGCTGGCAATGCAGGACAGGGTAGACGCATATAATGTGGGGATGCCTTGTGCCATCCAGAACAGCTACTGGGTCAGTTGCAGCATGATGGTGTCAGGGAAAACGTGCTGCTTTTGCAATTGCAAGGGAGAATGGTGCTGGGCACTGTAAACCTCTAACTGCCTCTACCCCAGAAATGTGACTACAACTAAAGCTGCACCCTACCCTGTTCATTTGTCACCTCACTGCCCCCACCCCTCCCCAGGACCAAAGAGCATGCTCTGGGAACTGGGAAGGTTAAAGGAAAAGAGCTAGTGGGGTCAGACCAGTGCACCACCAGATTATGCCTGGCATGCAATGGGATCACACCTGCAAACTGATCCCACGCACCAACCCTTTATGGGATGCAGTCAGTGAGCCAGCTCCATGCTTCTCCTCCAGCCTGTGGGACCAAAAGCCTGTGCACCACTGTTTTAATATGTTGAAGACTCAGAGCCTGTGATTCCATATTAAAAGCTGCTAACTGTTGTGGACTCTCCACTCCAGCATGCAAGGCAGCCCCACCTTACATCTAACCTTGCATGCCTTTTGCTAGATTGTTTCTTCTACTACATTGCTAAGTTGGGTGCAGCAGTTGACTGTGTTGGAAAAAACTAGGTTGCATTCTTAACGACCAACAGTCAAGCTTACGTGCATCCTGCACAAACCCCTCTCCCCAGCGTTCAAACATTTGCATGCCATCAGGCTTGCATTCATCTTCCAACACCACCTAGTTAAGTTTACATATACCAAGACACTGTTCACCATCAGATACATACTATCCCCTCTACCATCAAGTTTTCTGTACAGCATCTATCTTGTTAAAAATAGTATGAAGGAAAACAAAATCACCATTAAATTTAAGATTTCAAAATAGCTTGGGAATACCCACTGAAACAGATCGGGAAAGGATCCACCTCTCTACCAAGAATGGCATAAATAGACAGATCGGTCAATGCAGGAGGCACTGCCAAGGAAAAAGAAAAAACATGCCAAAGCCTACATTTGCAGATTACTTATCAAAAAGTAATAAAGAGAAGCTAAACAAACATGGCCCCCAAATTCCTGCATGTGTGAAGACAAGTGTGCACGAACATTTACCTTGCCTGGCCATCTGGCTTTGGAGAAACAATAGGACATTTAGACAGAGGTAGCTGAGACTGAGGGAGATTCATTTGATGATGGGACTTATATCTGCAGGAGAAGGAACTACAGGAGATGGGGAGCTCAAGGAGAAAAGATGAAAATGGTGTGGAGGAGGAGATCAAAAGAGGCTATGTGGTTTCAACTGGAATCACTGAAATAAAAATGAGATCTGAAGAGTAGGGAGATCTTAGCTGCCTTCCATCTCAACAGTCCTGTTTGGAATAGAACTGGGGT